AAAAAGGTATTGTTCATGATTTCTCTTTGTTCACTATTAAAGTTCTTTTTAGCTTACTTAGCATTTATTTATTGCCTCAAAGGTCGCAATCTACTCGATCATATTCCAAAAAGAGAGCTTGGAGTCAAGAGTCTAGAAAAAAGGTAGCTTACCCCAAAAAGCCACGCCAAAATCCAACTACTTGAGGATGAAACATCCTAAATAGACGAAGTTAAACTTGAAAATTTCTCAAGAGAAAACACGTAGGAGGAAATCGGCCTTAAGCCGGCGACTAAAACTCGAAGCGGACAATTGATCAGGAATCAGATTTGCAAAGATTTCCTCGCACACATTCGGAAAGTTCTTAAAGAAGCGGGCTACACATAACTTAGAGCGAATTCAGATCTTCCATTACAAGTCCAACTAGGACGAATAAAATGACTCCGCATAAATATAATAATCATTGCTTGACAAAGGTATACTGAGAAATTTCTTTTTCATTAATAGTATGAAGCTTCAGACAACTGAGGGAGCAGGGGGATCATCCTCGGCTAGTCCAGGGAGCTCAGCACCAAAGGTAAGAGATGGTTCTTCAACAGGAGGGACAACATCAGTTTCTCCAAGGTTAGGAGCCTAGCTCGAGGGAAGTGTAGACAAGAGAGCTGGATCCTCGACTTCCAACTTAAGGTTAATCTCCTTTTGGCCCTCCTCAACCTCTTGTTGGCCCTCATCAACCTCTTGTTGGCCCTCATCATTATCCTCGGAGTCATCTGAGTAGACGTAGGCCATTCATTGGGCCTCAACCTTCATCCTCTCTACTTTCTTCTAGTAAGCTCGCGGAAGGAAAGAGAAATCAATTGAAGGGTGGGCTTCCCTCAATTTCTGCACGAGGAAGACTGATGTCTGCCAGGCCTGAGTAGTGATGACCTTGTTTAGTTCTTCAATGTGGAACTTGAGTTAACTGGCCTCGGTTTTGGCCTTTCGTCGATCTTCCACCTCTTGGGCAAGGTTGAGTGAGGACTACATAGATTTAGCCTCCCAGTTTGAGGCGGCCTTCTAAGCCGAGGAAAAGTCAAAGTTTAACTTGTTATTGGCACTTCACTATTGTGCCAAATTCTTCTCAACTTCCACTGCCTTAGCTTTAGCCTTCGCCCAAGCAGCCTTGCTCGCGTTGAGCTTGTTAAGGAACTCCCTTTCCTTGACCCTAAAGGCTGCTATTTCCCCTTTGAACTGTTTGAGCTCAGCCTGCTTGGCCACCCTGTCTCTCTCAATAACCTCAGCCCTAGCTAGAGCGTCCTCCTTCACCGTCTCCGCCAATTGCCCCCCCCTTGTGAGTGCCCTCCAAAGTGGCATAACACTCGTCATAAAGGAGCCTATTCGCCATGCCAACCTAGCCAAAAAAAAAAAAGGAGAAAAGGGGGACAAGACGAAAAGTTAACAAGAAGCAAAGATAGCATGCAATGATAACAGAAAAAAAGAGCAAACTATCGTTACCTTCGCCGCATAGCTGTACACCAAGGCCAACATATCGGTTGGGGCAGCATCCCTAATGATCGTGAAGGTTCACGAAGTGATCCCATCCCTACCCGTTGCGGCCCTAATGTTGATATGGTCAAGGAGTTGGTCGATCAGAGCGTCGACTGCAGCTTGGGCCGTTTCATCCATCTACTTACTTTTTGTCCAGGATAAGCTGGATTTACTCCCCTCGGTAGTGCTAGCCTTGTTCGCAGGGGCAAACTTCTTCTTGGCCAAGTCCTTGGCTACTGTTTTCTTTAGGCCGTCAACTTGCACGACGACCTCTTTGCCCAAGCCACCTTGCTGCTCGGCCACCTTCTATTTGCTCGAGCCCCCTAGAGGCTCGATTGCTTTCTTTTTACCAGAGCTATCGTCCTGCTCAAGTGCTTTCAGTTTCCCTGAGCCTCTAGTAAGCTCGGGAGGTTTCTTCACTAGCCCCTTCTAGGACTCGGAGACACTTTTTTCTCCTACTGTCTTCGAAGCAGTCGCATGCCTTTTCGCGCTTAGGCCTTCCCCAAGCTTGCCACCGGCGCATTTCACACTGGCTACATCAGCGAGCAGCTTCGTCACTAGGCTAGCCAATGTCTTCTTGGCAACCGTCGAAGTTGCCGTTTACTTTTGAGGCGTTGGGTTTCTCGGCCCACATCTCTGCAAGAAAGTAACAAATAGTGAGCGACTTATTCACGCGCGAAAAAGTGTGAGCAAATGATAACTTACCCTTATCCAAGATCGTAAGAAATCTTGCATCGTTCCAACAGAAGTCATATGCTCACAGGTGGGGGAGCGTAATGATTTCGTTAATGTTACGTTGTTCATGGGGAATATCACTGAAATGTTGGAGCCTTTACAAGATCACGGTAGAGATCATTCTGCTTGATGTTAATTGCAATACAAGGCAATCCGGTTAGCTAGAATACAAAGCTCGAAAGCGATCCTTGCACATACGGTAAGTTGAAATCTTACTCGCTTTTGAGGCAAAGGCGTCGGTCTCCCGGGCTTTATAAAAGAAAAATTGTGAATCCCAGTACGGGACCTTCTTTGGGACGTCGACCAGCCCGTTGAAATGTACCTTTCTTACTTTGGAAAGGTAGTATGTCTAATCTTGACCTTTTTTGAGCCTATACAGATGAACGAGCTCCTTGACGGATAGCTCACCTAACTCAACGATTATGTACGCTATATACAGAGCAATAATAATGACATAGGAATTTGTGAAAAGTTGAAGGGGAATGATGTCGAACCGCCTTAGCACGTCATTAATAAAATGATGAGGGGGAATGGATACCCCACATCTCAAGAGGGTCTTAGAGGTTGCCACCCATCCAGACGAGGGATTCTTTCAAGAAATATTCCCCGGGGCTATCAAGTTAAGCTGCGGTGTATAGACCACTCTTATGCGTTCTAGATCCCCAACGGTAATCGAGGATTGTCGCTCCCTTCGCAGCCTATGGACTTGAGACTTCGCTGGTTGAGCCAACTGAATCAAGGCTCGATCGGAAGAGCCCGCTGAATTAGGATCCAAGCTTCATGCGACGATTTCCTCCAAAACCTCGGGGGCTGAGTCCCCAAGGACTGTCGAGCCCATGGGCTAATCGAACATGCGGTTGATTGTGCGACTGCTGGAGGAAGACATGGTTATAGCTCGCTTCAGGGTACCTGAAACAAAAGCGAACATGTGTCAAAGCTTGACCATTTCACGCTTGCTTTTAGTTCAGGCACCCAAGATAGCTCGCACCGCACAATAAATGCATGCAACCTACCTAAGGCTTCGGCGGCCACTATGTTAAACCCTCCTTAAACCTAGGACGTCGGAGACATTCAAAAACCCTACTAAAGCCCTAGAACATACAATGTGGCCACAACGGTAGCCATCTATTGACGCAAAAAGGGGAAAAACGAGTAAAGGAAGGGAAAAGAACCTTACCAGAACGAAAGAAGTGCAGAAACTCATTGGAAAGAGCACTGTGATGATGACAAGTAGCAACAAAGTGGAAAAAGATGTCAGAGAACTTTTGTGGACTGAATAAGCATTATGACGACTTCACCACCTTTTATAGTGGTTTGCATGGAAGACGAAAAGGCAGGGTTTAACTGTAGTAGTCGATCTATAATGAATCTCAACACTTCATTCGTTGAGCAATCTTAGCCCTTAGACGTGGCCATGTGTCATCCATCCACGAAGGGCAATGAGCCATCGGACTGTTATACTGACAACTGTCGACGCACGTTGCCTCAACTTCGTGCGTAAAAAGCTGTAGTCGCCCATGAGTGACGAAACGTGATTGACAAAGGCATTTAATGCGACATGATCGCTTTGAAATTACATTTTTTCCCTGACTTTTCATGTTTTGAGTTTGGCAGGTATTGCGAGAAGTGAACAAGTGTGAAGCATGTCGACCGGACATAAGGTTGACCTTGGAAGCTCGACCGAACCTGCGTCTAGAGACCTATTGGTGATCCCGAGCTTGACATCAAATCGAGTAATAGTCTTCGAAGCTCGAAACGAGTGTCGAACACTAGGGGGTAGATGTTGTGTGTGATTTTTCTACCAACCTCGAGCAACCACGAGGATATAGCTTGATCTAAGACTAGTTCGACTCCACCGGTTGTCCGACCAAGCACAAGCTCGTCAACACATAGTGCATAAGCTAGTCACAGACAACCCAAGTGATCATTCAAACAATTCCCAGATATGTTCAAATCCCGGATATCGCGGGAATGACCAAATCAAGATCAATCTCAACGCGATCAAAACGCCCAATCGTGAGAATATCGGAATTATAGTTCAGATCAATTGTAATCCTTTTATTTTCGCTATTTCCTTTGTACAAACCTTGTATATAAACCCCCACAAATGATGAAAAAGGGGTTACGACTTTGACAGAGAATTAACCTTGTAAGCTCTCACAACAAATACAGAAAACAGTGGACGTAGGCTCAAGAGTTTACCTCGCCGAACTACTTTAAAAATCTCTTTGCCATTTACTTTATTGCATTTATTATTCACCCACTACTGATTATACATAATCATGTGCACATCCATTCTAGTTCCACCAAGGTTGATCGGAATTCTCTGGTTGATGTAGATTTCTATATCAACACTTGAGTTTCTGGGTTTAAACCTTAAGGTCACATATCATAATAACGTTGACAGGCTTACCTGATCCTTTGGGTTTGTACAGTGTTCAATGGACCCCCCGAGATTAGTTGAAATGTGGACAAGCTAAATTGGACACCCTGGTTAAAAAAAAAAAATTACAAAATTTATAATGATATATCAAATGCAATATCTCAAAGAATAAATTTGAAATGGATCGGTACACCTCTCATTTCAGAACTCGTATGTTTATCCCATATTTGGTTACAAACACGTAATTTTCTAGATTGAATTTATAAACATTAGAAAATGGAGTCAAAATCCAACAGACGGTTACCGTAAACCATATACATCGTATAGTTAAAAAACGTTTAGTAGGATTTTTCCAGAATAATCCATAAAATAAAAATGGAAAAGTCCAAAAAGGCCCAAACATTTCTGGTTTGATCCGGAGGTTTTAAAACTGAGGTTGCCTCTCCCTCTCTCTCTTTCTCGCTCGCTCCAAATTTCATAGTAGCAGAGGGCCCCGGAAAGATGGCAGAAGCGCAATTGTCCGGTCACCAAACAACATCCTTCCTACGCTCACACTCGCTACTAACAGCAACAACGCGGCGTGCCGGTGTGGCGCCGTCTCCAAGCCGTGTCTCCTTCGACACGCCCAAGGCCAAAGTCCTAGCCATGGCTATCAAGAGAAGTCCTAAGCGTCTTAAATACTCCTCTCCTCAATTCACCAAGGTCTTCTTCTCCTCTTTCTTTATTTTTTTAATTTTTTTTCTCTGAGCTATTGCTGATGCAGCTTTCTGCTTTCAAAAGCGGTTTTGAAATTGTTTTTGTTTTTAGTAACTTATTTATTATTTGTTCTCTCTTGCTTCTTAATCATCAAAATGGTTCCATGGCCAGGGCGCATCACGGACTACCTAGTTACTAAATGTCGGCTCTTTACAAAAGATATTTAAGAAACGTAAAATTTTAATTCCTGTAAATTGAACTTCTGAACAATAATGTGCCACGTGTTAAAATTTCGAGCTCTGCAATCCGAGGGCTCTAGCGAGCGGGCTTGCTGTGTGAAATGATTTTTGATAACTTCAAATAGTAATCAATATTTTGATATAGGGAGAACGTGTTCAAGGCATTTACCAATTTGGCCTTTATATATATATATATATTTGTTGCCAATAAAAGTTTCAAAATTAGACGTTGAATGTTATTATATCATATTGTTTCTTTGATTTACCAAATCAATAAAACTGCTGCATTGCATCTTAAAAAAGTTATTCTATCAAGATAAACGTTAATGCTAAACAGTAATGGTTAAATTATTTGTATGTTTTGTGTTTGAGTGTTAACAACGTGGCTGTTGCTCTAACATAACAATTCTTTTTAATATATGATCAAGGGGATGTGACAGTGTAGGATCCCAGATTTGGGATTTGGTTACCCTTACCACCATGAGTGGGTCTTAAGAACTTATAGAATTATGTTGATAACATCTAATCTAATGTTAAATTGTTTAGGAATTGAAAGAAATGTTAATTACAAGGCACAAGCAGGGTTGGTAAATTTTACCATTTTCACACTGTAAGCAGTCTGGTAACCTAGTGCCAATACAATGTTGTTCCCCATATTGTTGAGTTTATGGTTCCTTATAGGTTGTGATTATTATAATAGTTTTACATTTTCACTGGATTTTTGTTTGTTTACTAGTTTAAATTCTTATGTTCATTAGGAGGATAGGTTGATGTATGTTGAAGTTGATCCATCAGGAGCAGATTGTTGGAAACTGGAACCTGTTGTTGAACTTTTGAAAGAGGGAGCAGTGGGGGTCATCCCTACCGACACTGTGTATGGCACTACTTTATCTTTATTTTTAGTCAGAGGCTGTGTTTATTGTCATGATACTTTGTGTCTTTAACAAGGTGGCTGTTATTGAAAATTTTGAAAAACTAGAATTTTAAGTCTGTATTTTCTTATGCAACTTTGAACTAGTTTTTTTGTTTTTCTAAAGGCAATTTCCCTGATTCATTATTTTGTATGGCAGTTGTTTGGTTTTTCAGAAACTGAAAATGTGATTTTGGATGTAAAGCCTATAATAATTATAATTTTTATTATGAATGCATTGCCATTGATGTTTCCTACCAGAAGTTGTCCTGATCCCTCTGTTAGTGGGTGTATATGACAATTCCCTAAATTTAACGTCATGCTGATGTTTGGTTCAGCTGTGGGTTTTTTGTTTTCTCTGGTTCAGAATAATGTGAAGCTTGAAATTTAATTTTTAATTTAAAAGCTGTCAACACTTGCTTTGTTCTTAGGTATGCAATAGTTTGTCATTTGAAGAGCCAGTCAGCTATTGAACGTCTTCGAAGGTAGATGATGTTGTTTCCCTTGTACTAACTTTACATTTCTCTATTATCAACCTCTTGGTGACAGTGGTCTTTTTGTTTTCCCCCCTATTGCAGAATAAAGAATATAGAGCCCTCGAAGGTAAGGAATGTTGCTTCTCTTCAGTTTAATATAGAAGTTCTTATCTTCCTTAGACAGGTTTAGATATTTAGTTAATCTGCTTTGTTTGGATGCTGCATGCAGAAAGCATACACGAGGAGCTTATTGATATTAGTACTTGTTTAGTAAATTACCATGCATCTTACCATTGACAGTTATGATTCCTGCTCTTCTCTCATGCAGCCTCTTAGTATCTTGTGCCGCTCTCTCCGGGACATAGATATATATACAACTGGGTTCCCTCGTGGTGATGGTCAAGGACATGCAAATATATTTCGAGCTGTTAAACACTGCTTACCTGGACCTGTAAGAATCTCTCCTTCATCTTATAGCTATTGCTAGCTGATTAAATATAAGGTACCCATCATTGGCATTCAAGAGCCACTATAATAGCTATTCACAGTGTAAAGAATATGAGGGAAGCTGGAGCAATACCCAGCATAATATGGCTTTTCACATGCTTGTCTTCTTAATCAAAATTTTCACCCTGCATGTATAGCTAATAGATTTACAAAGAAAACTTCCAGGTGATTTTTACAGCCATCTTGAGAACTTTTGGCATAGGACATTTCTGGGTGGAACAGCTCTGATCATTGTGTTTCTTTCTTTTGCATGTCCTGGTATCATATTAATAATGCTGATAATCATGAGTGCATGTTTATTAAACACTTACAGTTGCATTGGGTTCCTCAAATCTTTTATATGTATTATTATCCTGACAAAGTTTCTATGGAACAGTACACTTTCATTTTAACTGCCAGCAAAGAATTGCCTAAACAATGTGTAAGATATGGTACTACAACAGCCAAATATGCTTCCAGAAAAAATGTGGGTGTCCGTATCCCTGATGATGCCATATGCCAAGCAATATTGGAAAAGATGGATGCTCCATTGATATCCACAAGGTTGGTTTGAACAATTGTGATTAAAGCTGGTTTAGTTTTTATCTTTTCCCCTTTCATTCACTTTTTTATCTATTTATTTATTTATTTATTTTTGTTATTGATGGAGAAATAATTCTTATTATTTTCATTATTAATGATAAACAAGTTCAACACATTTTGTTATGATCTTAAACTGAATCTGTGTTTCTTGTCTCAGTGCCAAATGGCCGAAGGAGAATGAATGGATGATGGATCCAGTGGTGATAGCAGATATATATGGACCAGAGGTATGAGTTCAGTTAAGAAGATTGTTTTGTTTAGGTCAATTAATTTTGTAGGTTTTGCCTCCAATTTACTGCAGAGAGAAGTTTAATTTAGTAATCTGAGGAAGTCATCTCATTGCAGTGCGTTTAAATGTTGATCCTTTCTTTGGGTTAATGTTTTATTACATCGTTTGAAGTAGTTATTTTCTGTTTAAGTTTATGTATGAACTATAAGATAGGTTTCTTTGTTAACAGAGCTCCTCTGCTTATCTCAGTTTCTCTTCTTGACAATTTGATGACTTAGTTCTAAAGAATATTTGGACAAACTCCCTAACCCACCCTGCAACGGTCTGGCCACGTTTCTCCATGGTTCCCCGAAATATGGGAAATTTAATAAGGGTACCTGCTGTATTTACTTGCCTTTCTCTTGTATCCTGACAGAAAGAGATCGTAATTCACACTTCAAAAGTTAACAAGTTTTGTATATCTTTCTTTGGATCTTTAGCTATGAGAAGGCCTAATTGTAGTTATGATTCCTTGTAAATCACTTACTGTACGCCTGTCAGAAGTACAGTGTCTTTCTTGCTCTTGATTTGTGGTCATTTAAATTTTATTTTAGGGCCTCGATTTTGTTGTTGCTGGTGGTGTAAGAGTTGCAGATCCTTCCACTGTAGTTGACATGACTGGAGCTTATCCAAAAATTATTCGGCAAGGAAAGGTATGCATAGCTTCTGTTTTTCTCCATTGTTAGTGAATCATGTAAAAGAATAGCAAGGTGGGAGTGCACTGATGCTTTTGTTATTTGGAAATTTTGCTTATCAAAACTTTGTTTCTGATAATGCTGACAGTGACACAACCTATAAACTACTCTTGGCACAGTTTGATGAATTCTACTGTTGTATTTTACATCTGATCTTATGATTCTATGTTGTTCAGGGACCTAAATTACCCTGGATGGAAGAGAACGATGCTTAATGACTCAGCTACACTTGAAGATCTAATCCCTTCTGCTACCTAAGATGTTCTTGAACATGAATCTTGACAGAAACCTGTACAGAATTATAGTTTGTCTGCATTCATCACTTTTTATATGATATTTCAGTTCTGGGTCACATAATTAACATGACCTTGCATAGACAGCATAGATATGTTTTGTAAATGTCTGGTCAAGAAATGCTGCTGCAAAATTCTAGTAAATACTGAACATTTTTTATACTTGTGACTTGTGAGTGAATATCTCAATTGGTTTGAGGTCAATGAAA